TCGTAGAGACATTTTAAACACTGCTTTCTCTCTTTTCTATAAAAAAATACCTATAACCGTCAAAAGACACAATTTACACCAGGGCAAATCGTGAAGCTTCGGGACTGATTCACTTGTTCAATACTGTTCTCTTTTTATAACAAATCCAGCGAACGAGGAAAAATCTGTAGTCAGCTGTTTTTGGACAGTAAACACAAAAGCGTGGGTTGGAGTTCTGGGCAAGCCCGATCCACCAAATTAAAGACAGTATTTGCAAAGAGCGATTTCCGCTTTCCTTTAGAGCCCAGTAACACGAGAACAGCCTAGAAGCGTTGATTCTGGCCTTTGTGGTTGTCGTGACACTTTCCGCTGATTTGGTTAGTGTCACGTCACGACACGATTAAGTAACGCCATATGCACACGACGTATTTGTGACTTCGATCGAATTTTTCTTTCCTTGAAAGCTGCATTTAAATAGATATCACAAGTATAGATATTTAAATTCCTTGCAAGAGCAATCATCTCTTTCCTTTTCTTAATTTTCAGTTCGCATTGTTAGCTTTCATTGGGGTTGACAACCAACCCCGCCTACCAGAAGATTTGGATGAGTTGCATTTGCAAGGAATCATGGGTGTGACATTGTAGTATAATGGCGGAAGGAGACAGCATCTTCGCCAAAATCATTCGGAGAGAGATTCCATCTGAATTTCTCCATGAGGATGATCAGGTAAAAACCATTGTTACAATTTAGATCTGAGGCGTAAACTTAAGCTTGAAAACATGCGGAGAAATGAATCTTTGAGGCCACAATCTTAAAGAGAATTCTTTGACTCGCCCACGTTCTGCAAAATTCTAATTTCTTTTCACTCATTATTAGTTTACATACGATAAACATTACTCTATTTATAAAACTGTTTTGGACCGATACATTACAACCAAGTATGGACCTACCTTCGTAATAGATTCGAGGAACGATCCATTTTGAAAGAAATTTGCACTTGAACTATACGCAATGCGTGAAAATTTGATCAAAGTGAAAGTAAATTTTTGCAGTGAGGTTACGCGCTCAAATCTAAAATTTTCCTGGTAGTCTGCAAGAAGCTTAATCAAGGTTTGTTCAAACTATATCATTTAACTGAAGAATTTCGGTTTTTTTTAAGCTTTAATCTTCACCTGCCACGAGCCAATCTCATACCTCTTGGGCGTTATTTTTTCTTACCTCTTATCAGCTGTTCGACGTACTTTACCCTTTGTATTCCCAAGCAAATGACATTGTAACCCTTCAACTCACAGAAATGATTAACATATAACTTCTCCCTATGATATTCATACATCATCCAGCAAATAGGTAATAAGAATACTAAAACTTATTAGATAGAAGTTATCTTGATCTTACACCAAATTCTTGAAACTAATTGATAAGAAAATGTACACAGCTAAAAGGGAGAATTAATAATCACATCTTGGAAAGTAAAGACCTAGCCCTTTAACTCCCAAGATCTGATTTCTGATTCTCCCCTGTAGCTGCTACACATTTACTTGTAGATTAGTTACAAGAATTTGGTGTTAGATCAAGATGACAACTTCTACCTGATAAGTCTGAGTATTCTCATTACCTTTTTGCTGGATAATGTATAGATGTTATGAGGAGAAGTTACTCGTTAATCACTTCTGAGAGTTAAAGGGTTAAGGGATTATGTAACTGAAAGCTAAGGAGACTCAAAAATGATATGATTTAGCTTCTCTGCAGTTTCCTCATGTCTTGATGTTATTCTTTCCATTTTTAATTTCTTGTTTGCTTGTTTGTTGTTGTTAGTGTGTTGCTATCAAGGACATCAACCCTCAGGCACCTGTTCACTTCCTTGTAATTCCAAAGAAGCCAATACCTCAACTGTCAAAAGCAGAAGACTCTGATGAACAGGTAAGACATGGAACAATCTGGCTTCTCTGCTAAACCATCCATCTTACAATACAGTCCTCCAAGCTGAACAGTTTTGGTCCCAGTGGAGAATTATTGGCCATGAGGAAATCTGTAACATTTTCATTATTTAAATTTTACTGTTCTGCTTTTCTTGTAGTTGCTTGGCCACCTCTTGGTGGTTGCCAAAAAGGTTGCAGCTGAACAGAATTTGGCCAAAGGTTTTCGTGTTGTAATCAATGATGGAAAGGAGGGAGGTCAAGAAGTGTATCATCTTCACATCCATGTTTTGGGTGGACGCCAGATGAAATGGCCCCCAGGCTAGTCAAGGTTATTAATTCTACACCTGTTTTAAATCATTGAATCTGCAGGCAAAGTGACCCATGCTAGTGATTCTGTTGCTTTCATTAGTTTCTTCTTTCCTTAGTCAATGACTCATACTCAGCCCCTCTCCCCTCCCCTCCCTCAAGAATGGGATACCATTCCATCAATACCCACCGTTTTGTTGAAACAGTAGTGGGTAATTTGGTCTTTTACTGTTCAATACTTAAATACTGTTGGAAATTTTATGCTCAGTAACTTATCTCAGTGCCCTCCCCTCCACCCCAACCCTCTTTATCACAGGGCAACACAGGATTATTTATAACTCTTGCTTTTTCTCCTTCAAATCTTGTGTGATTATATGGTTGATATGGTTGCAAGTACTTCTGGTCAACAATGTTATTGAACTCTAGGGAAAGCCAGTGGTGAAGATGAAACTAAAAAATGTTATTCCAAAAGTAGCATGAAGTAGACTTAATATCTTGGAAGTATTAACAACTTGTTGCTACCCAGTTTCTAGTACCCAAGCTTTGTCATGTACTCACTGAGTGTAATATGCTTTAGCTACATATACTATTAATAGTAGTTGATGTATATTTGGCAAAGGAGAGACTTCTTTTTTACTCGGCATTTTTACATCTTATTCTGACTGACCTCCTGATCTAAACTGATTTTATAATTGCAGATCAGGTTGTTTCCCCCAGACTATGAGCCCAAGGTCAGTCAATCATTTATTTTTATTGTTAGGTGAAAACTTAAAGCAATGCAGCCAGGTGGCCTAAAATGGCATCTGAAATTCCCCTATTTTGGTTGCAAGAAATAAATGGGTGTAAGTCTACTCCACATGGAGTGGATGCCAGTTCATTACAGGTGGCTCTCTGCATTTTTATCAGGTGCCTTTCTGACAATTTACCTGTAGGTAAATATTCCACTCAATATCTGTAAAATCTGTTTAATCTGACTTGTACAATCTGGTTTGACTAAAAGGAAAACAATACAATCTGATTAAAGGAGACTTAACAAAATGAAACGAAACAAAATACTACTTAGTATGAGATTTGTAAGCCTGAGAGAACACATGATCTACAAAACCCAAAACATTACTCACTGGCGAGCACATGCTGTAGACCATAGTTTATGCATATCTAACCCAGTATCATGCGGGTAGAGCAAACCTAAATAAGACATATTGCAATCAACATTACCCATTCCAATTGTGGCACTGTGAGGGAAAAGTCATATCCAGACCTCTTAGTCCAGCATCTAGCCATTAACTACCTCATCATGTCTCCCATTTTATTATTGGTGGGTGTTAATAAATCAGTGCTAGAATCCTAGATCATTAGAATGCTTACCGTTTTCTAGGGAAAACTGGGCATTTATCTAATTTTCTTCTGTTCCTCTTCAGTCTTAGGTAGCACTAGCAATCAACGACTCCTGACGTAGCAAGAACGGATGGTAGAAAATTCATGGCACAATGAACTAAAAATTTCAGAACATAAGCTGAGAGGCTTTTTGAAAGTTACAAGATTTTTTGTGGAAGACTGGCTCGTAAATTTCTTCACTTGTATTTTCCCTAAATTGAAAAGGCAAGGAAATAAAATAACATTAAATGTTATTACCATCGGATACCGTCTAGTTTATTTTGTTAAACATTTTATTTGGAGGGTTTTACTACTTTCAAAAAAGGTACACGTGTGTTTTAAAGGAAAGTTACTACTCCAGACAGGTAGCCCAGGAAGTAGTAACCTACAAGACTGATTTCTGAGGTCAGAAACAAGAATAAGAGGATAAAGAAGTGATTTTAAGCCTACATCATCATCATAATTCACCAAATAGCCAATAAAATTCGAGAATGTCACCTAAAGTTACGTTAATTAAGAGTGAACCTCTATTTCCGGGACCACTGGTCCTATGAATCTCACAGAACTTGTCGCTCTTAAAGGTAGCGCGAGAGAGTTTGTGCACAAGTAAGATTTTCAAAGCACGATGAGGAGAGGTTTAGGGTGTAAGTAGCGGTTGAGATAAGTCTCATGCCCAGACCTTCCACGGCCAACCCAGGCCTGCCACGGCCAAATACTCGGTAGAATCTGCATTAGGTTGGAATTTCGTGGCCCTCCGCGCAATTTGCTAAATTTTACCCAATGTCTTCTTACACGCGTGGCTAGAGACACCATCATTAACTAGGCTCGAATTCCGCCGCGCTCTCGGAATTAACGAATGACTCAAAGGCATATGATTATTTTTTTTCTTTTAGTTTGGCCTTTTCATTTTTTTTTTTTTTTTTCAGTCGTTTTGCTGTAAGAAAACTTTACGGAGTGTATTTAACCAGGCTTTAACTAGACTCGAATTCCGCTGCCCTCACGGATCTAGCGAATGACTGAAAGGCATATGATAATTAGCTTCATATCAGTGATTCATTATTGATAGGTTGATAATTAAGATTACACACTTCTCCCGGCTCGTTGACAAAATTAACTCTTTAGGTAACATTTCGTGCTTGTGGCGAGGAAAAAAATGGCTGAATGCTTCAAGCAGAAATCTAAGGTCATATATAAAGGAAGCTAAGTGGCTACTTTCTAAAATTTACATGAAACGAAAATAATAGGAAAATGACGATATTTCGTGAGTTTGCCAAGGTGGTCCAACATTTGGTTTTCGTGTGTTGTGAAAACAATAAAAATCTTACCAGCGAACAACGTTTTTACTCCTACAAATAAAATAACGTTTTGCAAGTTTCCAGTATGATGAAAATATGTTTTTTGACAAAAAAAAAGACTCATTCGTCCTACTTTGTTTATTATCATATCTCAAGCGACATTAAAAAAGACGGCAGAGAAAGTTGCCTCGTGGTAATGATGAAAAGCAAAAAGGATTTTGATCCTTTGCATGACAGATATTACTCCAGAAGTCTAAGCCTCAAAAAGTAGTTTGAGTTGGATATTGACCAATTCCCAAGTTGTAAATTTTCATTTTTGTCGCATGTCAAGGGAACAATTGCTTGCATTCTTTACTGGCAGCAAAAAAATCTGTGAATATTGTCATGCATCCTAGCGAACAATTATCTTATTAACGAAGTACCACTCTTAACAAAGACGTTAAAAGTTGTATATTTATCAATATTTTCCAATATCGTGAATTCTTCACCTCACTTTTTCAATAAGGTTATAATTCTTACTAGTCTTCAAAGTCGTGAACGAACAACGAATTTGGGTTAAAGGGACATTTTTGCTACGAAAGATCTGACTATGTGGCTTATGGATTTAGAGATATTCGACACGATTGTTAATAAGTAGCAGAGAGAACTAGAATCCTTGTCAGAGGAAGTGATTGTTCAATCTATATTCCTGACGCATAAAGTGAATTGTTTCCAAACAAAACCAATCTCAGTAAACACAGTGATTTGCATCGTGGCCCATTTCTGAACGATATAACAAGTTACAAATGAATGGAGTTGGTTTTTCAAAGCATATGTTGTCTCTTTATTTCCTTCTCCTTCCTATTCAAGTTCTTTTATCAATCGTTTTTACTGTAAGAGAGAATTTACGGAGCGGATTAAAGGCCTCATACCATTGCTTCGTTGTTGTTGAATTGGTAGTAAAGATTGCGAACTTCGTCTGGCGTGTTTGCAAAAATTGAGAAGTGTGACTCGCATCCTTTTTCGTCGTCAGCTGCACTCAAAACTACGACGAGGCCCTTCCCTTTATTGTTGATCGCGTTTGCTCTCGCAATGACCTCTTTGGGTGACAGCTCGTGCTTGTTGTACGAAAAAATTGCCGAGTGCTTTAGATCGAAATCTAAGGCCATGTACTTAGCTAGCAGTAAATGAGTCGTGTCGCTACCGATTCTTGGGTTTAAATCGACCAAGTACTTTCCCTGATCAGTGATGATAACTTCAAACGTGACCAGGCCAAAGTAGCCATGCTTTTGGAGGTAGTTCTTAATCGGAACGGTAAACTCTTCGTAGACTAGCTTCTCATATTCTTCGTGTTTGTCCCAGTCCACTACGGCTCCTGTCCAGCCAAAGCCTTCGAATCCACCTATTGTGGTCCCCAACCAGTATAATTCGCCTGATTTGTGCAGGTAAAACTGAAAGCTGGGCACTTCTTTGATCCGTGGGATGACCTCTTGGTACAATACGTCTCCGTGCCAACCACAGTCTTCTCTAATGTTCCTTAAAGTAGCAGCCAGTTCAATTTGGTTCTTTACAAGCCTATTTCCCCGTCCACCGCTGCTCATGTCAATTTTCAGCAAGCAAGGAAAGGTTAGATGGTTTTCATCCATGTGTCTCGGAGTGGGTGCCTTGACATCCAGTAGAGAACTCTTCAGTTGAAGTTCGTACAGAATATCTGGATGTATAAAGTGCTTGTCTTCAGGGATGGCTTCCAGCGCCGCTCTTGTCACGATAGGAACGTCATCATGTAATCCTTCTTCCGGGGATTTTACAATCACAGTAGGATAAGCAGGGAGCCATAGCTTCCAGTGCTGCTTTAAGAATAATTCTGGTCCGCGCTCCATCAAGACCGGAATTTCATCGCCAGCAGCAGCAAGGTGGTAACATGGTGATACAAGCCGGCGAAATGTTGCTGAAGACGTTGGATAATCGAAAATTCGGTATTTGGTCGAGTTGAAGAATTTGTATTCTTCTATATAAGAGGACGGCTTCTGTGGAAGAAAATAGGCCTCTGTCAGGTCTTTCTTTATCAGACTTCCAATGGTGATCGCGTTCATCGACGAAGACATCGCTTCACGTTGTATTGCTTGGCTGAAGGTCTCGAAGGCGTTTGGAGAAACAGGTCTGTCAAATACTTGATACATAATGAAGGAAATCGTGAGTATATAAGATAGCATTAAGATTGTAGACAAATATTGATGCACTTAAAAGTCTTCAGTGGCCCTCACGTAATTTTCTTAATCTGAATAATTATTCATATGACCTTTTTTCTATCCATTCTTTTAAGAGACTTGTCGCGTCTAATCCTGGGATTTTCAATAATTTTCAATAGTGATTATTGATCCTCCGCTTTGTCCTTTCGCAAAGCTGTTTCAATTGAAATAGCACTTACATTGTCCGTGCAGAAGCATAGACGTTGAACAAACATGTCCAGTGTAGTTGGTGTTGATTACATCAAAGGATAGTGGAAAGGTGACTGTGTCTGGTTTCATCTTTACTTTGGGTGACAGTACGAGGAACGGCTTCCGTTTGCTGATACTCCACGAGGCTTGAAGTCGCTGCGCATTTTTTAGGAACCGCGGAATTGGTCTAGCATATCTCATCGGCTATTCAAAAGGGTGTCCTGAGGAGTGAGCGGACTTCGTACAGTCACATGTGTGTATACGCCTAGCTTAGACTGTATAGTATTGAAGGCTTTTGTATGCGCGTTTTTCAACACGGGCACGATTTATCCACTAAGGAGAAAAGAGAAAAACATTCAATTTCGAAATTGAAGGGATTTCATACGAAGACTTTCGTGATTTCTTTTTCTGTACTATTGCATCAAGCTGTGTTGTATATTGATTTTTGGTTCTTAGACAATATGTGAACATTGTCAATCACTGCTGATACTCGCAATTCAGGGCATTTTGATTAATTTTTCATATTCTTCGGTAATACAAGACTGGGATTAAGAAGCATTTGACACTTTGTCTGGCCCATCGAACTTGGTTGCTCATCTGAAGAGTTTGCCAGTTTTAAAAACTTAAAAAAAAACATTTTGATGAACGGAATCAAAACACTATAATGCTCACCAAATCCCCGGCCAATTGTTATAGCTATTGGAGCTAAAAACGATATTTTGATATTTCACTTATCGTGCAAGACAAGACAGAAAGTTCTTTTCTTTCTCGTTATATTTAAGTGTTATGTACCGTATTTATCAACCATGATAAACTAGCAGCTCTCCGCAATAAGATATGCAGTTGTGTCAGTTTGCTGCACAAGAAAAGCTCTTTTTTTGATATGCAAAATACTTTTTTTCTAGGCCTCGTAAAAATATATCTGAGGAACTGAAAGTGCAATATATGATGACTAGGGGTATGTTGAAATAGAAAATTGAATGAACTCGGTGAGAGTTCCAAAAAAACCTCTTTGATCAATATTGGGGATGTGACGTCAGAAGTAAGCGAAAAATACGATGCCATCGAGATTAAAAATAAAAGTAAAGAAACTTGAACTAATTTAACTTTCAGTAAAGGTGCATTTTATCATTTTGATGGCTAACTGTCGTTACCTTCAAAAATCTCTCCATTAAAAAAAGGAAAAAAATCTTGAAGTTGATCCGAAGCGTTTACTTTACAAATGGTTTGCTTGATACATTCATAAGGAATGTAACCTGTGAATAAAAATATGACGTGAATTTACCCTGACAATTATCGTCCTTTCAAATCTCCCTTGTCATAAACTGGTTCCCTAGTTATGGGAAAAATTTTTCATTTAAGACTTCACGACCGAGAGAAATCTGATCAAAACGCGAGATTGCGAAACCTGTGAAATTTGATTACAGTTTTGAACATAATATTGACCACCGATAGTAAGTTCAATTCGTACAACTACTCATCAATATTTTATTTATCGATGTGAAGAAAATATTCCGTATAAGAAATATATTAGCAACTCATCCTCAAAAAGTCGGTGTTAAAATGTATTTTTGATATCGTAAAGACCCTTGTTCTCTACCTTAAATATTCATTGTGAATAAACGAAACGCTGATCAAATGACCATTTCGTTTAAGCCAAAAGTCCATATATAGCTCTACTAGTGTTTTATCAGCATTGCTACAACCTTAGTGGCTACGCTACTCAATATTAATCCCGCGATATTCATTCATAGGTGGCGAGCTGAGTTAGCAACGTAACAGAGTGGATTTGTAAATAAAATAAATCAAAATCCTGAGCCTATCTTGTTTTAAGATTTGAATGACCATGCAGAAAATTTAAACCAAAATGATTAAATAATTTTCTCTCGTTTTCTCTAGTGATATTTAATTCGGGCTTCGCCCTTATCAACCGTCACGCAATAGAAATCCCGAGCTCATAATCTAATTGTTAAAAAGAGTCACTCTGACTTGTGGAAATTAAGCCGTTGCAACCCAGAAAATGTTTTGTTTCCTGGTCGGTACAATTCCAAATAAAGCGTCTTAATTAAGTTTGATGTAAAATGGCCTCCTCTTTATCACGATTTAGTAGCAATATAAAATGAGATCTGAGTGCTCCATTCATACATTGCGCATTCCAAAACACAGAAAAAAAAATAGAGCGCCTGCATTCTTAGTTCTCGTGTGATTCAGCGAAACTGTGTCTCTATCCAGAGGACATAATTGCGGAAAAAAGTAAATACCACGGGCATTTTAAAAAGTCAGATATAAGGCTGAACGGGAGAGTCGGGCCTGCTCTACAAGCCTATATCATATGTAATTTAAAACAACATCAATCGGCTGAATAGCCCCTGCATGAAATCAGAAAGAAAAAAAAGAGCCTTCATCTGTTCAGAGTTGGCTTAGCACGAAGAAGTCCATTTGAAAAGAATTGAACGCATTCATCATTCTGACGACTAACCAGAAGTCCTCAACAGCGTCGAATTGCCCTCTTTACTCTGATTATTTGCATCTTCCGCCGGCAAGATCCCGCAACACGAATGATGTCATTAAATTATGCCTAAAACTAGATAAGATTTACGTAAATATCGTAAACGTGTACGATGAAACATTGAGGAGAAAATATGTCTAACTCCAGTGACGCAAAAACTTTAAGATTGCACTTTTGGAATGCACGCCCTCAAAACGTGCCAATATGAACGCCCTTCGTCCTTCCTGGCTAATAGCAAGATAAACCTTGGTCCTGAAAATGTCACCTTCGTTGTACCTCAGATTATCATCCTTTCACCTTCCCAAAATGTCAAATAGGAGATATTGTTTGATTTAACACCAAATACTCAGAAGTTTCACAGCAGTTAACATTGATTATGTATTTTTTACTCAATATAACACAGAAAAATATTTCCCCAAGCCGCAAACGATATAAAGATAGATGATACAGTAAGATCTGACATCAAAGTGATTCTGAAGTTCTCAATAAACACCTCAACCCTTTTACTACCAAGATCTCATTAGTAATTCTCCTCACTCTCTGCTATACCACTCTCATGAAGTTACTTCAGAGATTTTGGTAATGAATCAACTAACATTCCCTCAATTGATATTTTCTCCATTCTCATCACTTGTCTGTTTAATATCGTGTTGACACTGTAAGGAGAAATTCTGTCTTGGTCACTCATGGGAGTTTAAGTGTTAAATGTATATTTCAGTGTTAATTATTTACTCCCCAACATCAGTATGCATATTCTCCATACTATTCCCTAGACATTTCCGAAGGTTCTGACAAGGAGAATTTGTTCAACAATCAAGAGCTTCTTTAGTTGGTGATCATTTCCTTTATTCTCGTGACCTTAATGTGTGATTCAGAGGTGATGTTGTAAGGAGAAATTAGATGTTAGTCACTCTTAGGGGTTAAAGGATTGATGGTTGTACGTTTAATACAGATATATTGATCAGTTTCCTCCGGTTTTAGGTGAATAATTAGCCACTTTCTTCAAAGGACATAGCTCATGCGCATTTCTCAGAGGTCTCGGTCCATAGCTAACCAAAAGTATCGTATAAAAGCGCTTAAACATATAGACTTGAGTTTGTCTTTAAACATCATCCCCATGAACACGTTATTGTCTTTTTTAAAGAGCGTGGAAAGATCTCGATGTAGAAATTTCAATCGCTTTAAAAATAGATAATATGAGTCTCTCTCGCTAACGTTTTATTTCTTAGGGGTAAATATATATGAAGAAAGAAAAATGCTAACAGTCACGGACAAAGTTGTTTATTCAACAAAGAAAAATCAATAGAGTTTAAATTTAGGTTCATATATCCTACTCTCCCATACGCTTTCCCTCTTTCATTGTTTCTTTTTGTGTTATTTTACGTCGAAAACAATTTTTGTCAAAAAGATACAGTGAAATTGTCAAGGAATAAGAGAAATATTGTTTTTAATGCCAAGAGTTAATATTTTGAAAACTGAAGCTATCGTCTGCCTAGGCCTGGGAAAAAATTTTTTCGAAAGATTTCTTCCTTGATTGTACATTTCTGCCGTAAAACAACAACGACAACGACAAAAACAACAACAATAACAACAATAAAACAAGCAGAGAAAGGGAAAAAAGGCCGGAAATAAGCTTGCGATACGTCTAACCGTTAACGCTCTGTGAGTTAAACGTCGGCGTCGGCCTCCAACATCGCCTTCTCGTCATGTACGATTACACACATAAGAAAATGAATTGATAAATGAATTGCAACCTCATCTTTAAGGCAATATTTTTAGCTCAATGAAGCCGATAGGATACACAGTTGATTGAGACGACGGCTTACAATAAAGTATGGGGTTCTAAGTATATTTCATCTTAGATTAGGTGTAGACAGTCGGTTCTACAAGTTGTCTGTTATATATTACGGATCAATGTTGGAGAACGTTGCATATAGCACAGATTTTTTTCCAAATTTCAAGGTATTTGATGAGAATTTCGCATGACTAAATAGGGCAGGTGTCAAAAGAGTGGCTAAGAGGGGATTCATGAATATGCCCCTCCCCCCTCCTTTAAACGTTTTCATTCAAAAGAGAAAGGTGAAAGGGAGACGAAAACAGTTTATTTTTTTGACTTGTTTATTCAATCTAAATATAGGAGAACTTGACTTCATCTCATTCGATTTCTTAACTCTGTTACTATGAAACAAAGTGTGTCGGTTATTTACCTTGTCCTCAATACTCAATCATTATCACATCACTTTGTTTTGAACTTTCCACGTCGAAGTGATCGCCAAGCTGAACTGCACAACTCTATTACGTCGATTAAGAATAAAACATGTTTTTTTTTAACTCATTTTGGTTTTTTTTAAGGAAGAAGCCAAGGAACTGCTAACAAAACTTGGTTTTTTTCCCGAGAAACGTGGTAAGTAGTTCCTGTATGATTATCTTTGAAAAGCTCATGCCCTCCCGCCGATTCTTCTCCCGCCATCTTGGAACCGAAGCAGATTTCTCGCATCAGGCGTCCTTTAGAAGCCATTAGGGCTGGAATTTTTTAAATTTACTTTTCCTCCAGTCTTTATGTCCCACTTTTTTAAAGTGTACTGTCTGGTTTCTTTTTATAACAAAGTTAATAATCTAATTGATGTGAGGCTTTGAAACTGTGTTAACGTGTTTATAATTTCACTCACGTTTTTACTCACTAATCGCGTTTGCTCTTTGTTCTTTGAAGAGAACCAGCGGAAATGAAATTTCGTGGCGAAAATAAGCCTCTATATCGATAAAAAGTGTTTCAATGTTCGAAAAATCTTCAGTTATAAAAAAAATTCCGGCATCCTTTTTAATTGAAAATCAGTCTTCATACAAACATTTTCAATGAATTGTTGATAAACCTACGACTGTGGAAATCAGTGAGACCCTTCTGGCTCAAATGGTTCCACAACTAATCATGTAATAAAATTCTGGATCCTACGCGATCTCTCAGAGTAACATTGCGACATCATAAACGAGGAAATCTCAGCTGAAAGCAATAAAGGCAAGAGCGAAACATCAACATAACAACCCCGTAACTACAATTAGGCTTTACGTGCCTGGTTACAACTCGATAATATGTCCAGCAGTTGCCTGAGAGTTTGTGCGTCTCCGAAACTTTTAGTTGAAAATGGGTCGTTTGCAGTCTTCTTCATCTTCAACCAAATCAGTAAATGGAATCACAATCAAAAGAAATGGATGTAATTCATTAAGTTGAAGAGCAAAATATTTTCACTCCCAAGATTGTCCACTGTCTCCTGACTTGTCTTCCAATTTTATCTCCAAGAATTTCGCGTTGAATCAAGCAATAACCCTTACTTTAGGGTTTTCACTCCCATAATTAGCCATCTGCTTGAAAATGTATTGATATGTAAAGAGAAACTTAAGAAAATAACGACACTTTTAAAAGTAAAAAACATGTCAGTTTCGGCAGTTCTTCTGTCATCTTTCTGTGTAAAGTGTGAACAGAATGCTTCTTAAGTTCGTTACGTATCTGCTACTATCCAGACCTTTTGGCAATATCATTCACGACATGGCAGGGAAAGAGAAACTCCATTTTTGTCACTCTTAGAGGGGGCAAAGGGCTAAGAATCGTTGATAACAAGCTGATTCATTATCTGGTTAGATAAGTCAACAGTTATCAAAGGTGGCTCGATAGGTAATCCATTGAATGTTCTAAATTGTCGCCTGGTCTTGCCACTCACACCTTTCCTCCTCCGTTTCTTGCTTACCGTTCCTAGAACTCCCTGCGAACTTGCATAGTTTGGGCTTTCAGATCCAGTTGCTTGGAGAACACTAGATTTACTTTGGTCAGGTAATTGCCTTTCATAATCTCTGTCATCAGATATAACTTGCGAAGTTTCTGATCGAATACCATTTGTAGGATTGACATAATATTCTGAATTAGAGTTAAAGTTATTCAGACGGTTAAATAACTCTCTACTGGTTGAGGAGGCCAAAGTAGGACTTCGCTTTATTCGAAGGATGGTGTCTCCAAATAAAGATGCAAATCTCTCAGTTACTGAAGTACCAAGGGCGTTAATCACTTCTTCGTCATTCTCTTTGCGTCTGTTTGTTTTGATACACGTTGTACAGTATCCGCGACCCATAATTTCGCAGAACTCTCGTCCGTTCGTTTTGTCAAATAAGCAGTGGTAGCATGTTGACGAACTGGGAAAGTGGCAGAACGAAGACGGCGAAAATGGGACGGTGACTGTCCAAGAGGGAAGAACAGGGGCTCCATCCACTTTCCAAATCTGGCCCAGCAAGGCACCTGTTGTGTGTGGTCTTTGCTGTTCGATTCTATCTGTAAAATGATTGCGTTGCAAGGATGCCCTCCTTGACTTCGTTTTCCATTTAGCAGGCGTCTTCCTCGCCCAAATGTGAAGATCATGTTGAATCAATTCACTCATGTCAGTCAGATTAGTGTCTTTACCTTGTTCGTGAACGAGATGAGTTTTCTGTAATAGTTTTGTGATTGTTAGTTAAGTGAGACCAGGTTATTATGCAACTCTAACTAAATAAACTGCCTATTTAGCGAAGGAAGTTAACAATAATAGTTCAAAGTACGGCTGCGCAGTTTCAAATACTAAGATCTTTTTTTGTTTACTTTTTTTTCCAAAGATGTGCTTCAGTTGTGTTGCAATCAATTAGGTGCTACGTGCCAATATCACCCCATACAATGGTAGCCTATTTGGCCAAACCAAAACAATGGGGACTTAAAAGCAGACAAAGACCTATAATCCTTTCTTGATCTTTCTTCTCTTTACGCCCGCCTGCTAACTTTATCTCAAATTCTCTTGCGTAATGGTGTAAAGACGTCATTTGAGGCCGAAAGACAATAATTAAAACAATTCAGTGTGTTTATTATATCACAACGCTAATAACACGTGTGGATCTTGAACACCAACAAGCAGCTCTTTTAGTTCTTCTATTTCCGTCTCTAGGTAGCAAAGTCATGGGTCACACAATTCTAACTACTTGACAGACTTCCTCAATGACGTGAGAGCATGGGATAATATCACTGACAAAAGTTTATAAAAGGTTTTCACAAATGATCGTGGTTCATAAACAAGAGGTTGCCTTTTTGTCTATGTAAGGTTTTAAATAAAATTTGTCTTCCACAAGCAAACGTTTCTGGGGAATTTGGAACATTTGTGCAGCTTGTGCAACGTTATTGCTTGCAAATGTGAGACTGTACTCGAAAGAAACCGTCAAGGAAATATTGATAAAGAAATCGTGTGAATAAAAAGAGATTTTTTTAAAGACACCAGTAAGTAAATATGTAAACGAAAATGATAAAATTTGCATCATTTGTTATGGGTTATTTGAATTGAGCGAGGAAAAACGAGCCAGTGCAGCCAAGTGCACTTCCAGAAAAAACATGGTAAGGTTTTGGTAGATATGTTGTACAGAGAAACTCAAACTAATGACTAGCCAGGGGCAAACCAACCAGGCGTAGAATCATGCAAATTGAGAAAGAAACAAGTAGTTGATTTTACGGAGAAGTATGAAGAAACTGCTCTTTCTGGTTGTTTATCTGCTTTTTCGAGGATCATCTTTGCCTCTGAGCAAAGAAGACAGATCATTAGCATACCTTTTCGTTCGGTTTACAATCTACGGCGCACCTTTATTTAGGAAAAAAATGAAGAGGAGTTAACTGATTAAAAGATAAATGTTTATGGTCCCAACTCTTAGGGATTGGTGACTAATGCAATGATCTACATGATGCTTACGGAACCCAATTGCAAAACGTCACCAGAATAATGGAACATCCTACTGATGGAAAATTCAGAGAATGCAGTTTTGTTAAAATAAAAAACTTACACCGCTGTGTAGGGTGATTTGACGTCCAACTCCGTATCCAATCTCCTATCCAAGCCGCTGACTGTGCAGGAGCCATCTTGAGTCTGATCTTTTCCACAGGAGTTCAAGCAGTGACAGTATTTTATAACCTTTTTGGTTTGGTCCTCAATGTGTTTACTGAAGCAGGGGCTAAACCTGTTGAACAGTTTAACAGCTTTGTCGTATCTTCTGGCCCAAGAATCAAAGCTGAAACCTCTGGTATCACATTCTTTCTTCAGCTCTCCCAGATTCCTCCTGTTCATCTGGTCACAGGTTCTTCCGCTAGCGCGATCAAAAGCACATGAGCCGAAGATACATCTTCCCCAGTTAAGAGCAGCCTCCGCGCAATCCCTTGTAGTTCCACACTTTAGCCCATGCCCCCACGAGTTGGCTGCTATCCAGCAGTAAGGGCTTGCACTAGATCCGGGAGACGACTGGCAAGAGCCTGTCATAGCACAATAACCCTCAAAGCATCTGAAATTGCAATCACTCCATTAGAATACTTCTCTGAAGGACAGAGCGAATAAAACTGTCCAAAGGCAACGTAACAATTTATATGACTATGAATATATATATGCTATTCGCCTGCCGGGACGTCCGTATTGGGTAAAACTGTGCCGGAGGTCTCGAGTAATTAATTGTGATTACAGTAAGATTTTCCATAAACCGAACAATTTTTGAGCGAGTAAATGGTAGTTAAAATAAAGTAATGCAAATTAAAAAGAGAGGCTTCACCGAAACATTTTCATTTGCATAATGATAAAGGTGGTTTAACAGGCTTCCAACAAAGTTTGGAACATTATTTTTTCAAGTTTCTGTCACAATCTGACACCTGTCAATAGAGAGCGCGTAAGAAAAAAAACGCAAGTACATTTTTGAAAAAAACAACGGAACTAGTTTGGCAAGGACTGTCACGACAATATTTTCTTCAAAAGCAATCAATGATCTTACGGAAAGTATTGTTCAGTCTCATCGACGATTAATTAATGTACGATGATTTACCTCTGTTCAGTAAGTAAATGGCAAGGAAAATAATTGTAAATTGGCGCATTAAATTCAAATTTTTTATTATGAAGTTGTGAGAGTTTGCTCGTTTGTTTACCGCAACGGCGTGTGTAAATCTGGCCTTTCCTCCACAAAAACTAAATTCGAATGAGGCACTTCAACTAGACACAAGGGGATTTAATGCGGCTTTTTCTCTTTTGAATTAATCCAGTTTCTGTTGTGCAATTTATAATACAAATGTTCAAATTGAACGGACTTGGAAAGACTCACCGAGAGCGTCTTTGTAGTAGAACTGAAAACTTCGCTCGTCCTTTCACTACTGAAAAATTGTTTGAGAGAATTCAGATATTAAATGAATGAAAGTTCCATCGATTAATTCAATTGCAAACAAATACCTCACTTTTTAATTCTCCAGGTACTTTTTGTGAAGGATTAAAATTAATTGCAAACGCTTTTTAGGCCGCTCGTCAACCAATTCAATAACTTTTTTGTTAATACAAATTCATTTTGAAACCAACATTTTTCTGTCAACCAAAGTGATTTGAGAGAGAAAAAAAAAAGGATTAATAAGTTATTTATCGCCTTGAGGTGGTGACCGACTTTTTTGGCGTAAAAATACTGCCCAGCCGGAAAAATGAGGTATATTTATGAAAAATAGCAACGGCAGGGATGTGGGGATGTACTCGGCGACTCACGAAACTGTTACCGTTGCCCGTGGGCAGAGATAGGAAAAACACGGACCGCGTTAAGAACCAATCAGATTGCAAGATTGACGTGCCCTCTGAGGAAGAAATAAATATAGATCATATATGTGAACCGCTGATTAAGAAAGGAATATAAGCTATCTTCGGATTTATGAACACTACTGAAGCAGTAGTGAAAATAAGGCCTGAAATAAGTTCAGGCCTGTACGGGATTTGAACCCATTTGAAACCGGTGCAGTGCCCTACCAACTGAGCTAATAAGCCAAGTGGGAGCTGGTTATTATGTTGGTTCGCAATAAACCCTAATGAGTCTTAATCTTCTGTTCTGTTTTCTGCTCTCTCGAAGTACTTCGAAATCGATCAATCTCAACAGATTTTAATGTGTACTTTATAAAGCACTTCTAACAAATTCCTACTTCGCAATCTGATCTAATTGTTTCCCAGCTGAATTTGGTTATGAGACTGAAAAGAACTTATTCACAAGACTTTGAGCTGACCACTTTGACGTCACCAATCCCTGATAAAAGTTTCGTTAGAGCCGTTAAAATGGCCGCCTTGCCACCTATCCTTTCGTTTAATTGACTCACACGGGGTTGATGACTTTGAATTGCTCCTTATGACACTTTAAACCCATGTAGGGTCACCCAAATCAATTGTAAGTAGTTTGAAGCTTAATTTGAAGCTTAAAAAAGCAAGTGTGAATGTGTGGCGAACTTTGCATAATAATGCATCATCCGAATTTTCTCCAGGTTTGACAACGGAATTAAAAAAAATGAATAAATGTACCAGGGCCTTCATATAGACGAATTAACCTCTCGTCATGAAACCATGCTTAGAAAGAGGAAAAAGTCCTTAAATAAATGTTCTGATGATAAAGTAGATATCGAGCTATCGAGGGATTTGTGATTTGCCCATAATTGTGTGTAACGAACGAGTGATGTCATTCATGTTCAACACCTTAGCCTCAAACGAAACGCGTGGAAGATTATTAAGTCGTTGTTTATTGCCGCTCATCAGTTTTTCATTAAAAAAAAAACCAACAACAACAGATTTTGTCGGTGGTGCGTTAGAAGGTTTGTCATCTTCGGCCAAAATGTTTGTCGCGACAAATCATTCGCACACTTTAAGAATCGGTGATGACAGAAAATCTGTCAAAAGGAACAATCGTTTTTGCCAGTGCAGTTAGCCCCTTACTGAAGAAAACGTGACCGGGAAGCTACCACTTTACTGCGATGCACCAACTTGCCTGTTGTGAACGTCAGGAACTCTACGGATACTACAAGCTGGCGGTTCACAGCGTGAGTCATGGTTCACACAACTCTAACTTCTTGACAGACGTCCATATAGCTAGAAGGCGAGAGGACCTAGGAAGCCACCGAGCTTATGTGAGGCCGCCTTTTTTATATTAATAAATAAAGTGAAGAAAACGTGCTGCGAATGTGCGCTAAGCCAGTTCAGTGATTACTTAAGTAAAAACTCTTGGATTTTCGTCTTAAAGATAAGAAGGTTTCACGAACGAGTGACTGAAACAGGAAGAGAGTTCCAAATTTTAGGACCTTGGTAGAGAATTGTAAATTGCCTGAGATTTGTACGGCACAAATGCGTGCGATAATTACTGGCTGTTCTGGTACCATAGTTGTGAATTTGGCTATACCGGCGCCGTTACAAAAAGATTTAGAAGCAATGGAGGCAATAAGTTATTTCCATATGATAAAGAAATCGCGAATAAAAAGAGATTTTTTTCAAAAATGTAAGCTCTAAGATGTATTTTATCGCACAGTTAGCCAAATTCAAACCTTATTTTATACTTTCTAAAGTTGTTTTCTCCTTGCCCAGAAGGTGACAAGTGCCACCAGAGGTTGATACAAAGTTCCTTTCGTCTGAATATTACCGAATCTGCTTTATGGTCCTTTATTACACTGAATGCTTATGTAAAATGCGATTTATACTGCGTGGTATAGGCAAAGCAAAAGTTAAATAAGTCAAAACTATTTTCAAGCACGTGGTATTAGCGATAGTATTTGCCATGAGCGCCGAGAAACGCATTTTTCCTTACATAGCGAACTGAAGAGAGAACATGAGCAAATATATAAACGAAAATGATAAAATTTGCATTATAAGATGATTTTATTTGGTTGAAACTCAGTTGTTTGATGATGAGACATAGAATGTCTTAAATCTTCTTTTCGACAACCTTTTTTCGGCCTCAGAGAAATCTGCCTCCTTGGTTTCGGATGAGCCATCTTTGCCTTTGATAACATAAGTGGGTGTTTTCACTGTGTAAACAGTGCCATCACTGTTTTTACACTCGCCAACAACCTGAAACACTGATACTTCGTCTCCTGGCTTAACACCGATGGATATTTCACTGGTCACTTGCTGAAATTCCGTCCTAGTAGTAGACAAACTCCAGTTATGCTCTAATGTTCCTGATGCGCCGATCTTTACGTCAAAAAGTTTCATCACGTTAAATCCAACTTCCCCTGACACAGTTGCACTTGAACTTCCACCACTGGACGTAGACTTGGAAGAAGACATTCCCTTAGTTATGATGACCTTTTTAGTAGCTTTTTCAGTGGGATGCCTGTTTATCACTTTCTGCAAGAAGACAAGCTGTGGAAAAACATGGTTATACGTTCATTCGCATTTTTATTGTATATTCTTTGGTGCTTCTTCCTTGCCTTGCTATTTATTTTTGCTCCCATGACTACCATGCCCAAAGATTGTAAGACAAATTGAATGACGCAAGGGAGG